TTTTCACACATTCCACAGTCACTTTTCTATCCACACATTCACTCTTGGCGATCCTGTATCCATAACCTAATTCCCAGTTCCGCACAACTTTCTATTTTCCCTGAGAAATTCCAAATCACTTCGTGTCAAAACCCCAGTCAAGCAAAACGAGCCTTCGACAGGCAGTTCGGATCCAAGGGGTCCCCGTACATGCACGACTCGCACATGGTGACCCCGAGGTCTGCGAGTCGTCAGGACTGAGTAGTGAAGGAGAACGAGGCCTCACGACCGACTCTCAACACTTACAAGGGTCCGGCTCAACAGCCAGACCGTCGCTACGACCTGAACGAGGACTCGTCTGATGATGGAAAAGACCTTTTGGACGTTGACAATCTGGAAGGAGACCTGACCGAGGAGTGGGCGCGACAAATTCGCGAACTCAGAGCGAAGGAAGAGAAGAATTCGACGCCCAGGATCGATCGATATCACGACTCATTTCTCGCTGGGTAACATCAAGACATTTTCAGGTTACAGAAAAAAGAGCGAAAAGTCCATGCAGTGGTTACGTATTTTCATATACGAAATAAAAGGAACCCACAACCCGTCTAACGACCGGTGCATGGCATTCGAGTTACGTTTACAAAACGGAGCCTTGCATTGGTACCGACAATTACCACGCAAGACCAGTCGCACGTGGAAACCCTTGAGCGACGCGTTCATCAAGTACTACTCTTCCAAGTTTAACCAGTCTGCAAAGGCGAGGTACTACTCCGCCAGGCGTGAGGACAAGGAACATGTGTGCGACTACTTGAACCGGCTCAACGGTTATGCTCGTAACGCCGGAGTACAGTTCGAGAATGGGGGTCGTGAAGCTAAACACCACGTGGAACATTTCCTCGACACGTGTGACGACAGAGGCCTCGAAGAGCGTTTGTGCAACGTACGGGTCAAGGATATTCACGACCTTGAGGGTGTGATCAACGACATTTTGAAACGACGTGACCGGAAATCGAAGCGCGACTCCTCGGTGAGACGCTCCAGCGGTCAAGATGGTAGCCGTCGACGAGATCGCGGTCGGAACGAGGACTCAAGGAGCAACTACCGCCGAGATGAGCACCGTAGAGACGAGTCGCCATACCGGCCGAGAATTACCGTCCAGGCGCTATCTGATTTGGTCACTGCCTTGAACGAGACCTCGGTCGGATCACAGACGAGTCAGCAAGCGTCGTACGACAAAGAATACGAGTTGAACGAGGACTCGTTAGGTGACGGAGAGCGCAGAGATGACGAAGACCGATACTCTAACAAGGGTTCCGAGTATGACTACGCCGGCGAAGATGAGCGTGGTCACGTCGCAGCGGCGAACGACCACGAGCGCCATGTGGCGGCAGAAGGGACGTTTGCCCGGTCAGACAACCGTCGCCCCAGGAGTGATGGCCATCTTAACAATGACCGAGGTTTCGCCCGTGACAACCGAAACGGACGGCAGCAGTATGGTCTTTGTGCAGCATGCGGAGGTCTGACTCACTCGGTACACTACTGCTACAAACAGTGCAAAATGCTCCATGATACCGGGAAGTGCGAAGCCTTCAACGAACTCGCTAGCCTCCTCCGGTCGAAAGTCGAAAAAAATGACTTGACACCGATGCTGCAAAGTGTGGTATACGGGAATCATTTAAACTAGGCAGCCCGCCAACTGAAACTGGGTTGGTTCCTATCGGGCTGCCACAGTTAGCTGAACCCGCGGTAGATGCAGACTATTTGTTTGCTTTTGCAGGGGAGGTGAAATGGCCCGAATACCGTGAAATGGGATTTGTGAATACGACGGAAATTGTGGAAGGAAACAATAGAAGTCTCAGTGAGAACGAGGTGGGTGAAGTGGACGCTGGAGAATACGATGGGTGCCTGACAGAGGTTTCGGCTTCGAGCTGGGGACCAAACGGGACATCGTCCCGAAGCCTCGTTCAAACTGCGAAGCTGCTACCAGGCGAGAGACCAGGGTGGTGGTCATCCCCACGATACGACAAACGAAAGATAATGAGAGCCGTAGTCATGGGTGCCATTGATGACACTCGAACGGGGATTCTGCTCGACATTGGAGCTAATGTCAGCGTGATATCGGCAGCGTATGCTAAGCGACTGCGCTTACAAGAGGAGTCCGACCATGGCCGCAGCTTGGAAGTACAAGGCATCAACCCTGGGGTGTTGGAGCCCCGACGACGAACTCTGATTAAGATCAGCGTTGGATGGGAGCGGGTGGACGAGTTCGAAATGTGGATTATGGAGCATAGTGCAGGCGTTGACATAGTGCTTGGGCCGGATTTCATGATCCCAGCAGGGGTACGATTGGATCTATTCCACGGCACTGCCAGACTACCGGAAGAGGTCACAGTACCACTGGTGAAGTCGGCGGGTGCCGCAAATGACGAACCGTATGGGGCCCAAGTCGTCGGTGGACCGACCGAGGACTTGTACATCCCGCGGGGCGAGTGGCGCGAGTTCCGGCTGCCTCGGAAGAGGCCGTTGCGAGCGACACACGAGTTATGGATAAGGAGAACGAGACAAATGTACCGACGGTGATGGAGTCCCGCAGGAGCAAGCCTGTGTGGATCCGCCTGACAAACGTGTCGGACGGGACAGCTCGGTGCTACAAGTATTCCTCTGGGATGCTGTGGATACCCAAAGGAGAGCTCCCACGCGAACTGGGGTATGTCAGGCTCGACTCAGGTAAGTATAACGAATGGCAGGTACTTGCATACGTCGAAGGACGAGACGACACTTTGCTGCAGAAGGAGAAAGGGCTCTACGGGTGCTGGTTAGCAGAACAACCACCGGCGGTAGAGCGGCCGGAGTACACAACACCTGCGCGGATCTTAACGAGGCCGACCGAGGACTCGGTAGCACCCGGGAGGAGTGCACTGGACCATTCAGGACCAGATGACAGGGGTGATGCCATGAACAGCCACTGTAGTGCGAGGACGCGAAACGACAGCGAGGCCTCGGTCGCCGTAGGTATCGATAAAAGAGATGAGCAAAGAACCCAACACGCAACCACCAGAGTTTTCGGACACCGGGGACGAGGAGACAGATCCAGCCGAAGACTCGGCTAACATGTTGGAATTGACCTACATCTCCGTGGTGCAAGAGATCGAAGCAGAAATTGCTGCTGGCGACAAAGGCACCTATGACGATTGGTACGAGCACATTCCGAATGAGATGGAACTAGCTGACTACGCTGACGAGTTGGCTTTTCTACCAGACTTGACTGAGCCCTCGTCGACAGTGCTAGACTACACTGGACCGAATGTCGTCAATGAGAGTCTGAGCGAAGATGAACAGCGAAAACGCGTTGAGGTTCTACAGCGTCACGAAGAGATTATGATTGCTACTGGTAATGCACTACCGCCGTCAGCTTACGGCGTAGTATGTGACATTGATGTACAGGGGCACATGCCGATCAAACAACGAGCACGCTGAACATCATTACGGGTACTGGAAAAGTTATACGAGCTGCTGAAAGGGCTACTTCGAGCAGGTTTACTAACGTTCTCCGACAGCCCTTGGGCATCGCCCATTGTGATAGTGCTAAAGAAGAACGGGTTGACATCCGCCTGTGCATCGACTACAAGCGAGTAAATACTATTACGACCATTATGGAGTATGCAATGCCGTTGGTAGATGATTTATTGACCGACATGGAAGCGTACTTATGGTTTTGGTCACTAGATGCAGCAAGCGGGTTCTGGGCTGTGATGATGACGAAGAGAGCTCGGAAGGTATCAGCGTTTGTCTGCGCACTTGGGCTTGGTGTGTTCACACACCAAGACGGGAAACCTCAAACTCTAACCGGTTAACGTTAGGGTTAGAGTTTGATGTAACCCCGTTACACCCCCCGTTAAGATTTGACGTGCTGGTCACAACACGTCAATCCAAGCCTTGACGAGTCCGTCATGCCTTCCAGAGAACTCCGCGCTCATTTCGCAACGAGCGCCTCTCTGCGAACACCAGCGTCTTCACCAGTGTCCGCGTCGACCGTAACGTCGACGCCAGCTCCCGTGCCAGCGTCCGCGTCGACCTCAGTGTCGACGCCTGCGGTTAACCCCGCGTCCGCACCGACCTCCACGTCGGTGCCTGCTCCCGCGCCTGTGTCGGCGGCGACGCCGACACCCCCAAGTGGTATGACAGAGAACTTCTCTGTCGACAAGTACTTTGAGCTCCAGGAGAAAACGCTCTAGCTCCAAAAGAAGAAGCGCGCTGAGGATGCCAAGACAGTCTGTCCATCGACTGTCTTTGAAGGTTCGTCGATCGTCTCGACCGACAATGGTATCCCCGTGGAACGTGCCACGGGCAGAGCTATGCGTCTGCCGGGGGCGTCGGACGCTTTTCATATGGTCAACCCCGAGTTGAGCAAAGGCTTCTGTCGTTCTGAGAAGCAAACAGTTCGCGTCTTGGACAACGTCCAACCCGGGGTTCAGCTCGTTGACCTTGTCTGTGCCCTACACAGTCTCGCGCCTTGTGTTCGCATCAGTCCCAGACTGTGTGTGGCTCTTCGTAGCGTTGGTGCCCGGCACTAACGTATTACTTGTGCTCACAGCAGGACCCGCCTGTGTGGGAGTCTTCTCTGTATCAGTGCCCGGCACTGATACTACATACGTGATCGCAACAGACCCTGTCTGTGCGTGAGACTTCTCAGTATCAATACCCTGTATTGATACATTACTTGTGCTTGCAACAGGCTCTGCCTGTGCATGGCTCTTCGCGGTGTCTGTGCCCGGCACAGACCCGTTGCCATTGGTCGTAGCAGGTTCCGCCTGCTCGTAGTTGTTCACAGTGTTAGTGCTCGGCACTGACACGTCACCTTGAGCCACAGTGTGACGCTGTCTCGTGCGGGTTCTCGCTCTCGCACGTAACTTCACAGTGCCCAGCACGGACACACCTTCTTCTGAGACACCGGTCTCCCTTGTGCGGGCTCTCGCTCGCGCACATGTCCTTACAACTGATATGCCCGTATACACACCTTCTTCTGAGACACCGGTCTCCCTTGTGCGGGCTCTCGCTCTGGCACATGTCCTTACAACGGATATGCCCGTATCAGTTGGCCTCTGCGGTTGATCTACATCAACCGTAGCCCCCCTCCCCCACTTAAAAAGGAAGACACCCGTCTTCCTTACACCGTAAACTAGACGTGCACACGGTACTAGTGTGTACTTGCTCGTAAGTGAGAGGTCAACTTCCGACGTACCAAGTCGGAAGCGGCTGAGAAAAACTCGATCAGCTTCGTGCGTCTGCATCAAGCGCAAACGCAGCCTTCGCCGTGGCAAAATTTTCGGTCGGCGCGACAACACGTGTGCGACGACATTCAACAATCCGGGTTTTGTGAACCCGGAAGTCGTACACCAGGGGGGACAACCATCTCGCCCGAAGGACGAGATGTGCAGCGATTTAATCGTTGTACACAACGTCGCCTGGTTGGTATTGACCACGAACGACGTGTTGCCGAGTCATAGCATTCGGAACTTCTGGAGTGCATGCTTCATGACAAGGGTTTCCTTGTCATGCACTGGATCATCATCGCGGATCCGATCGCGAAATCGGATGTGTACGGGAAAATGGACTATCTTGGACAACCACTGCCAAGATCGGCGCAGCGGTCCATTTCCGTGCGCGTTTCTTCTTCCCGTCCACAGCCCGGCTGTGAACGAGTATCATGTAGAAGCAGGTTGGTGCAAAGTCGCGCACCTTGCTTGATCCCGCGACAGTAGCCACTGCCGCGTCGGGATACTTCTTCCGCGGGAGTCCCGTCCGAGAGCACATCCATGTGCTCTCGCAGAATCTTGCAATTCTGCTCGTTGAAGCGTTCCTGCTTCGCCTTGCCACTGAGAGTATCATCACTCTCAGTGGGGCTTCCAGCGAAGAGTTGGATCAACTCCTCTGCTTTGCTTGTCATTCTTTCCCAGTCCGAAAGAATGCATAGCTGTTCGATGCGTCCATCGTTGAGGTCCTTTGCGAAGCGCTTCCAGCTCATGACTGGAAGCGAGATCAACTCCGATGTAACAGTCGGAGGGTTCTCCAACTACATCTTCGCGTACTGGTACCCAGTACAGGCCCGCGTCAAGACGTTCAACGTCTCGACGGCCACTGTTGGCACTTGTTTCTGCCCGGCAGACATACCATGAAGAGTCTCGGTCCCGGACTGAGTATTGCGCAGCGTTTGTGCTTGCGCCGTCGCTTCTTCTTGTGAATCCCAGATTCACTTGCGTTTCGTCCACGCCCGGCCATGGACGAATGTTCCTGAATACTGCCGGCAGACATTCCAGTCTGCACTCAACCGCCGGCGGGTTCTTGTACCCGCGGGCACACGTCATCAAGCCCGGCTTGATCACGCCCTGCTTCGTGCAGCCCGGCTGCACGACAGCACGCAC